CATTATATCAGTATGGAAACGCGGGCACAAGCTCAGCCACAGGGAATCGAGTACCGAAGACGATCGCTAACAAAAAGTGCGCGCTTGGCGCGTGCTTGGCAAAGTAATCATGCCACGACGATCTCGGGAAAGTACAATCGAAGAAAAACGCAGCATGCGAAATCAAAGGAGGAAACGTAAACGATTGTCAAGGACAGCTAGGGAAAGGGAGAACAGAGAAATGAGAACACAAAAGGAAAGAGATGCATATTCTTGGCGCGAATGTATTATGGCAAATGGAAAAAGAATTAGTCGAACAGAATAAAAAGACCCTGGACAAAACCAAGGTAGGTACTCGGTTAGCGTCAGAATAGAATAAAATAGGTATCAGAAAATGAGCAGTTGGTTACAAAAAACGATATCACCGAACTGAAGCTGAACGTAATCAAACTAGCATTGTCTTGCATTGTACAAAACGTCCTGGGGTTGACTTCAACATAAACTTATAGGGGGAGGGGAGAGTGTAGCCCTCAAAATTGGTCTCCTTTTTATGATGAAATGAAAAAAAAAACTACAATCATTTTCGTAAAATAAGGCAAGGAATCCCCATTTGAAATTGCCTCATTCTGAAATGATTTAGCGGGAATTCATTCATTTCTGTTTGCCAAGCAGACAGGCAAAACTTTCGTCTGAAAAGGACAGTCATTGAGCTTTGAGCATTTTCCCTTCCATCTTGCCATGTAGTGTTGATCTTGCCCTACCAAGGTTACCACAGATCAAAAAATGGCCAGGGATAGAAATTTCAAGGTCAGGGAAAAGTCAGGGAAATTAAAGTTTTTACACCACTGAGTTTCATACCATGCTGAAAGAAATATTTCAGAAGATCTCAGCAATATTTTAATGAAGAAGAGGAGAATGGACATTTTGTATCCATTTCATCAGGGAAATTTTATTTTTATCATGGATAGGTCAGTACCTTAATAGTCAGGGAATTTTGGAAAGTTCTGTTTGTATTATATGAAAGGGATAAAGTTTATCAATAAATCTATTAACATAGGAATTACGATTTCCTCGATTGTGATTAGTTTTAAAAACTCCTATTTTCCACTAATTCACTTACCAAGTTGTTGTTGGACAGTTCAATAAGCCAAATACATTGAAAGTTGTAGTTTAAGTCAATAAGCCAATCACATTCAAAGTTGTGGTTTAAATCAATCAATCACAACCTTGGTTTCAATCACCATAGAAACAGTGTACAGATTCCGTTTCTTCAAAACGGAGAATTGGTTTCCCTTGAGCAATGACAATATCTAAGTGTTCTTTTTAATTTGGAAATTGTAATTTTTATGATTAATTGGTAAAAGGACTTTGTGTCATTCGTTTCGGTCTGTAATCACACTCGTGATAAACAAATTGTACTCCCACTATGCAGTCGTCTGATTTTGTTATCACTCATATGATTACAGACCAAAGACTACTCAGTCCTATTACCACTTATTACACAATCTAGCATGTGAATCTTATTAAGCTGACTAGCTTCACTTTTCCTCTGTTTATTACTTTATTCCAGATTAGAGACAGGAATACAAAATCAGGACCACCCAGTAGCAAATTTGCCACTGTTAATTTAATTGATCCATCTGAGCTTCAACCAATCAGTGAAAAGGAATTAATACTAGGACAGGGTTCATATGGCCGGTGTATTTTAAAATCTTTCAAAAGATTAAACGTTCTTGTGGTAGAAAAACAATGTCTGATGCAAAGAATTAAAGAGATGGTAAAGGAGGCACAAATCATGTAGACTCTCACACACAAAAACATTCCTGCAATAATAGGAATCCAGCTTGAAAGAGAGCCTATATCTCTAGTGATGGAGTTCAAAGGGGAAGAAAATACATCCACAACAGTCAGTAAATTATTGTATTGCAAAGAATCCAATGGTATATTAGAGAAAGTTAACAGTTCACTGACAAGCAAAGACTGGCTGATCATTTGTCATGATATCACAGATGCTCTCGCTCACATTCACTCCAAAGGCTTTCTTCATTGTGGTCTCAAATCAAACAATGTTCTTGTAACTGATAAACATGGCCAAATTATAGACTTTGGAAAGGCCTGTGACAGTTCATTTCCCCCTGCAAAGAAGTACACTTTTCACTATAGGCACATTGCTCCTGAAGTTCTGAATGGCACCCATTGTAGCAAAGCCAGTGATGTTTATTCCCTTGGCCAAATCCTGCATGAAGTAGCTACAAAGCAAGAAATTCCAATGTTACTTGTCAATGCTCAAAAATGCTTGGACAGCAACACCACATGGGGACCAACAACAACAGGACTAATGGCATCACTGGCCTCTTTAATATGTAGCTTTAGGGTAAGTCAGGAATAAAGGGGATAGGGGTTAAATGAAAAAAAAATTGAATTGAGAATGATTCAGTGGGCTAGTAAAACAACAAGGGGAGGTTGTGCTCTTTCCCAGTATTTACTTTTGTGAAGATATTCAAGAAGTGTATTGCTGGATGGGGATGACAACAAGAGCCACCTGGCTTTTTTTTCAATTGAGGACCTTCCTATACACAATAGTTATGACCAGTTTCCCTACTTAAGAACATACTGTCCTATAACATAACCTTTCTTGCTAGTGATGAAGGCCTCACCTTGTAGTTTAGGTTGCAAGAAACTTACAAAGTCACAATATGTTTCTCAGCAATGTTTCTTAGCTTTTTGGCTATGCCAAGTCCAGTGATGTACATGTAGAGCCTGAAGATTGCCCTTAAGTTGTTAGATGAATTGATTAGATGACAATTTTCTTCACCAACTTTATAGCTCTGATCAAGGAAAATATATGAAAAGGTTTTGTCTAAGATAGGCTTCTCCTAATTGTTCTCACAGCAATAACATTCAGAACAATCAAAACAAAAAGACTTGAATAAGTAAATAACTAAATGAATAACTAAATGAATAAGTAACTAACTAACTTACTTAAATATATACACATTTTTAAAAATTAAAGTCAACCAGAGTTGAAATTCAGTTAAAAGATATTTGTTTCTTGGTGACAGTGGCAGCTATTGTGTTAAATTACAGATGCAAAAATTTAGCAAGTGTTTAACTCTAGCAATGTTTTCGTCAGAGGAAATACTTGCTAATAATGATCCACATGTGAAAACATGAAAATCATATTAGGCATGTAATTTAGCCTCAATACTTTTCTTTGCACCATTTGGCAGCCTTTTTTAGATCCCTAGCCCATAGAATTTCCATCACCTCCCATCGCTTGGGGGCAACTAATGGCTATGGATAATTCTGGATCAGCCAAAATGACACATTTTTGCTAGTTTGCTGATTCCTGTCAACAGAGACAAATATCACCTTGAGATGATCAATTTTGGTTGGAAACAAAAAGAAAACTGCATGTAGGCTGCTGGTGGAAACCCTCTGTATTAGTCTGCCCTCTTCCACAGTTAGCAGTGGGATTAGGGAAAGTCACACCACAGTAAATTAAAAACAAAAAAAATTTATCACAAAAACAGTTCCAGCAGCACAGAAAGGCCACAATGTTGGATGGATGGCCAGGTATACAATTGGAAAATAAATTGCAAAATGTGTACCAGCATGTTTGTGTTAATCCCATATTATGAAGTATGAGTTGTTTTCAGTAACTACAGTGTCAAATTTTATGGTATAGTTTTCTGTAATAATAACTAATTATCATCATATTGGCTTTCCATTGTTAGACATTAATGCCAATTTCTTGACCAATTGGAAGTAAAACCAAGTATAACTTGTTTGCATATCTAAAAGTAAATAAACAAAGTTAAAACTGGGTGGGTTGCCTTGAGAACCCATCTGTTCTGGTGTGTTGTTTTCTGAGTTCTTAGAAATAAGTGCACACTATCTTAACTCTGGTATAATTTTGAATATCAGAACCCTGAAGAGTAGCCCTTACTAACAGACCTGGTGCATGACACAGTAGTTTGGGTGTGTTTCTATATGACCAAATGATAGGCTTTGACCTGTTTTGAGACTTATCCATGTCAATGGTACCGTCCATCTAGTGTGTAAACATAGTACTTTTAAATGAATTCAGTAGACTTATTCATTTGATCATTATCATCTGCCACACAACTGTGTTCCCTATTACATTAGTGTTCACTGTGAGATCTAGAATGACATAAATGTAGGCAAAAATGGTATAATAAATTATTTGAGCCTAAGCCTTCTTGTAGTTGAAATATTGGGAAAGAAAGGAAGAAGAAAATAATCAAGAATAGAAGAATTAGGCATATGCAAGATAACATTCTGTTTCCATTGTTACTTTAGCAAATCAGTATTCCTGTTGTGAAGATGTCACATCTTTTATCAACAGGACTGCCAAGATGACTCATCTTTTTGCCAGTTTCTGTTTGCTATTGTAACAATAACTCTTGCAGTCCACTGGCAAAGGCCAAAAATTAACTTAGGAATAAAACAAGGATGCTGTGGCTCAAAAAACTTTGTATTAGGACACTGCCAGCTTGAAACTAGGAGTCAGCATTTAGGCTTTAAGTTTAAGCAGAGACTTTTCCCTTTTTCTAGAATTTATGATCTACAGAAATTCCAACCCCATGTGATGGAAGATAGGGAGTAATTATTAGTGCCAAAGGCGCATCTTAGGCTTTGAGGTTCTCTCAAGTGCCATTTCCTGAATTTTGACATCATTCCGGCCTGAGTTATAACATACCATAATGCTCTTCGCGAAGAAAGTAAGTATAATATGAGTGTTTCACAGTGACAGATCGCCAAAAATTCTAAAGATTAGCAATTTTCCCCTAGTTTTCAGAATTTTATGATAAATCGGGAGAATTTGGTAAAAATCGGGAGAGCGGTAGGCAAGACATCGAATCGGGAGACTCCCGATCAAATCGGGAGGGTTGGAATCTCTGGATCTATTTGCAAGCATTTTCACAAGCCAAAGCCAAAGCCCTCTCTTAAAATTAATGATTGAAAAACCAAGGTATGTTAGTTAACATTTTCTTTCACTTATTAAGTTTCATTGTAGCAACTTCACCTTCACCTAACTTCTTCGCGCCAAGTGGCACAGAAGGCCTCATCCCTGAAACATTTTTGTATATTCATCTCCCATGTCGTACCTATCCTGTGTATCCGTGTATGTAAGCTATGTTCGCGCTAAAATCTAAAGGTGGGAGGATAACCATAACTCCACTGACTCACCTCTACAAGTTAACATTTCTCACAGTTCCTCGCATATTAAATAAGTCGTGCTGATTAGACATGCTCGAAGTGTAAATTGTATTTTTGACAGAATAATTGAAGACAAGTACGCATGCGTTAAGGGTGTCTGGCTCGATATTTCGATACGCCCACGAAATCAATTGACCGTGAAGATCTGGGAGAAAGCCGTTTACCAACAGGCTACTGGAAAGCGCTTTTAGTTACTCACCATACGGGATAGCTGCATACCCACAAATATGTCGTAGAAAGAACATGCCATCCTACGACTAACAAACAACTCGTGGTTGAAAGCCGGTCAAGACAACAGGACAACAGGCGAAATAATGGAGTCTTTTATTAAGATTAAAGAAACATATTACGACATTCATAACATTAACCAGGACTCCATTCACGAGCGATGACACATTGATCTCTATAGTTTGAAAGGTTATGGAGTCGCATTACAACACTAACCAGGACCCCAATAACTAGCGATGATAAGTTGATCTCCTACAGTTTTACATGCTTTGACACATTCCCAACAGACCCGGGGAAATAACGCTGCGGAAGATGATACTTGCAGTAAAAGCCATATCCGTCCTCTCATGCTGGATGACACTGGCCGCTTTTCGTTGTTTGTTTTCGCCCGCAAGAAACATCCATGCAGGAGGCCTGATTAGTAAAACAGAAATGTGAACTTTTTTCTTCCCGTTCTGCCATCGATAGTTGTTCAGAGTAAACAAAGCTTGTTTTCTCGTAATCAGTATTCAGACGCTTAATGTGCGTTTTCAAAAGGGAAACTTGACGTTGCCCTTACACTCAACACTCAGAACACGCTATACAAGCAGAAAAGAAACCTTTTGGTTCGCAGGTTGTTGCAAAACGCCGGGTAATTGCTAAAAGATGAAGATAGTTAAGACTCGCTTAGAGAAACGTTTGCCCGAGATTTTTAACAGAGTGGTGTTCTGTTTACGAAGCGAACGCCTACTTATAAGCCGATAACAATTAATTGTCTCAGTTTTCATTAGTATATAGCAGTAGTTCCGAAATATTGTTCTTGGCAGTGACTAAGATAGGAAAGTTATCAACAAACCTGCTTAACCCAAAACCCACCTGAACAGAGCTATAGTATGAAGATCCTTTCTTCTTTTTAAAATGACCTGGCTTCATCTGCCGTGTTTTATTATTCAACTCACAGCTACGTTTTCCATTGCTGTCACCGCGATGAACATTGATCGACTTACAGCCGTTATTTTCTATACATTTTAACTGGCATTCAAACTCGTCCACAACATCAGTGGTCTGGATAGCATGACCTACCAAGGCATGGTCTGAAAGGCGAAAAAACGTTCTTTCTTGTAACCACCAGCTATACAAAGAGAGTATAAGAATCGCTTTTTCTCTTTTTTCCGTTTTTGTTTTGTTTTGTTTTTTTGTTGTTGGAGTATTTACTCACCGACTCGAGTTTCAAAAACGCTTCCACAAAAGTCTTTGTTTGCCAGGACAAACAGGATTCCCAAAAGGATGTTAAGAGTAACAATCGCAGACTGGGTCAGCCATAAAACAGCCATACTAAAATTAGCCGTTTTATCTTAGCTCGTCCAGGTGGAGCTCCTTAGTTTTCTTGTTGCATATCAGCTTTCTTATATTTGCCTTCCTCTGTCAGCAGAGCGTCATTGACTGACAGTTGAAATACTTATTATCTGTAATACACGATTCCTTTTTATTCATCGCTTTACTGCTAAGTAGGGCCCCTCCTTACTGGATGAGAATTTTAATTAAATATCAACATCATTTATAATTCAAAGCTCTTTTTCAGTTAAGTCTTAATTCTTTAATTGCTTTTGAGGCCTTATTTTCTCTCTTTAAAACAAAGGAATTTTTTTTTTGAGTGGCTCACAAAAACGTGCACTTTTTCGGTAAACAATTACGAAACAAAGAGCTAAACACTTCCCGATGAAAAATGCAGCAAGATTGACCGAACTTGTGACAAGTGGGAAGATCTGAAAGCTGCCTTCCTGATTAGAGGACACGTTAGAGCGACCTTTCAGTTGATAACTCGTTAAAAACTCAACTTGACAACATATAAATATAATCCATAATTCATGACTCCAAACTCCATTAGGCATAATGTTTTGGCTTATTTGTTGTAGGTTCAAACACCCGTAAAAACATTCATTTCAAAATAGAAAATACCGGAAGACTCTTGTGCTCCAGAGCAAAGGTATCCTACCTCACAGCCATTGTTCTAGTGTAGTGACGATAGAAACAATAAGCATCAAAACGTATAATTCCTTTTTAAATTGATCCAAATCCCGCAATATCTTAGCATGTGGGGAAGTCCTGAAAATAGTTAATTACTGTTGATGTATACCTTCGCTTTCAATGCCTTAATAATAATGTGTGAGTAAAAATGAAAACAAATATTGAAACTGTCAGCTAAGTTTCGTGTTTATTCCCAAGTCTAAGGATCCGCTTCAGAGCAAAAAAACTGATCAAATTAAGAGAGGATGTCGGCGTCCATCGAACAAATTTGAAATATTGTGGCAAGTCGCCCAATATTCGTTTTCATCCCTACTTTCAAACTTTGTAGCCCAGTATGTTCTCATAATTGTGGTGTAGTTTTTTTGTAAAAATATATTTTAGTTTTCGAGAAATGACTTTTTTCGTACGACCGCTCAAATATGCAAATTTTCACCGTGAATATTGGGAGTTACTACATCACGGGCGACGAGCGGGGATAGAAAAAACGACCCAAATATGAGCGGTCAGCGGTGAAACAGCTTTTATACTTCATATAGAGACATATAATTTGTTGTTCCAGAGACAATCGTGTTGTAAAGCCGAAATGTTAACAGTTTACTTCACAGTTTAAGCAATTTTTCAAAAGTGTTGATTGAACTCATATCTTTTAATGCTTTAATAAACAATGGAGGCTTCGGAGAGGGAGTCAGTGGCATTTGGAAAGGCACCAAGAATAATTAAAAATATGGTTTGTAGCTAGCTGCGTGACGTGCATGACGTTAAGATAGATTTTCACGAGCGTCAATGGTGCAGAATCGTAACTTGATGGAGCCAACAGTGGACAACATCCCAGAATTCAAACTTTGTGATTTTTTTCTCGGCTTAAACGCTAAGTCAGTTGTTCAATTGAATAGGAAGAAAAACATTTCGAACGGAAAACAGCATTATTTGCACGTGTGGATCTTTTGAGAAAAGGTCTCCTAAACGAGTGGTCTTGATTGTAAATATTTAAGGAATGGTAAATACATTAGCCTTAACATGGCTGTTTCTCGAAGCTCAGTGTTTTCCTACTTGCCTTTTTTCCACGTGAATTGGGGGCGATTGAATAGATATAATATGCAGTAAAAGAACTTCAGCTGATAGAAATTTTAAATTTCTCATCTTAGGCTGTGGATACAAAATTCAAGTGAAAAGGAAGCCAACTGTGATTAATGCTTTGAACAAGTCAAGATACGTTTTTTTCGTCACACAACAAGTTACATAACGTGAATATCATTCTTCTTGATGCCTTTCCCGGTGTCACCAATGCCTTTCCCGATGCCTCCGTTGGTTAATAGAGCATTAAAAGTATTGTTCCAGTTAAAGCTTGAGGAAAATTGCTTAACTTTTTAAGTAGCGAAGTGTAACTTGGTAACATTTCGGCTTTACAACACGATTGTTTTCTGCAACTACAAAACGTACATTTAATTCTTCTTGGTACCTTTCGGATGCCACCGATGCCTTCATTGTTTATTAAAGCAGTAAAAGATTTATGTACAATCAACACTTTTGAATTGCTTAACATTTTATTTAGCGAAGTAAACTGTTTACACTTCGGCTTTACAACACGATTTTTTCCTGATACTACAAATGATATGTCTGTATATGAAGTATTAAAGTTGTTTCACCGCTGACCACTCGTATTTGGGTCGTTTTTTCTATCCCCGCTCGTCGCCCGTGATGTAGTAACTCCCGTGAATATTACCCGAGTTGTGTGACTTCATGTAACGATTCCACTCGACCTCCGGCATTTCTGTTAACGTAATCCTTTGTTTTATCATCTAAACTTAATCCCCTGTCATTATTGAAGCTGGAAAGGAAATATTTATTTTTTGGTGAATATTTTTGTCCGACATACTTTTCCTATGTCGACTAGTAGCATCAAAACAAAGACAGTTTTAACAATGACCGATATGACAGAATCTACTGAGCTTCAAGCTTTTACAGAAGGATGGATAAAAAGTTACTGTAAAAATTTCCTTGTGCATTCGTGTTGTTCTATCTTTAGACGAACTCAAAGTCCGGCAAAATTTACTTTCTAGCGACTATGAAATATACATGGTGTGCCTACTTGTCGCCACCGTTAACTGGCATAAATCACTAAAATCTGCGAAAAAAATCTAACATAGCACTCTTACCTTGTTTATTTATGATTTTACTAGCTGTTTCGATGATCACGTTAATTATATATGCTCTACCACATTCTAGCCAGATTTGAGTTCCAGTTTTTAATATCTTCTCTATCTTAATATATCAGTTGCGTGACAAGCGTGACAGAAATTCAAAGATGAGTCAACCTCCGAAATATCAAGAGATGGGTTTTTCCCTCTTCGCATGACATCTAGAAAAACCTTTCAGGAATCACTGCATTCAGAAAACTAAAATGTCTAGATCCGTCAATGATTCCTTTGCCGGCTGAAGTCAGAGAATGGTTACAATAGTCAATTTGTGAATGAAAGTGATCCTCGCAGTAATTTGCACTACTTAGGCAGTAGTACTGCGAGGATCACTTTCATTCACGTCTTTATCCGCAGTTCAAATATATGACTTTCATATATTCTTAACCATTTATAGTCAATTTGATTGACAAGGTACATACTGATTTGGCTAACTGATCTGTTTTATAAGCGTCTCATCTTACATGATAACTTGGAGATTTGCTGTTCAGTTAAATCGTTCGCTGGTGGAAATTGTGGGTTTAGTTATCGAGAAGACCCAAGTTGTATATATCAAGTCGTTCTCTTGAGTGGTTGTTAAAAAGACATTTCAAGTCACTTCAAGTCACAAGTCAAGTCTCATTCTGTGCTTACCTCGGAGAAACCCTCACCGATTGGAAGAAAGCTCGCCTGATTCTGGTGTACAAGAAAGATGACGAAGACGACACGAACAACTACAGCCTGATATCGCTTCTGAGTGTTCCTAGCAAGATTATGGAATCTTGCGTACCCGATACAGTCGTTAGACATGTTTACCAAAAAAATTTGGTCACAGATAAACAGTGGGCCTACCGCGAGGGGCACCTTCTCTTTCAATGCCTCAATAATAATGTGTGAGTAAAAATGAAAACAAAATGGAAACTGTCAGCTAAGTTTCGTGTTTATTCCCTAGTCTAAGGAGCCGCAGAAAAAAATTAAAACAAAGCAAAACACAAATAACAACAAGATAAGCACATCCTTCATGATGGAGGTAATTATGAATGAACTGAACTATTGGTTTCATGATGACAAGGCTAAAAGAGAATCACACATAGCACTATAATATGTGGAGCTTAAATTTACTTCGGAAAATGGCAACTGCAATAAGTGCTTTAAATTCCAACTCCTTTCGACCCATGTCTACCTAACGTATTTTGCTTTTTACATACTTCATTGTGTACTTCTTGGCTTTAATTTATCTGAAAATCCGCGATGAACAATATTCTTAAAAAGACAAGTGAGAATACACCTATTTACAGTAAAAAAGATTGAATGATCTTATCATGAGTCGCAGGGAAGGTTAATTGGACTGATAAATTGTTAAATTGTATTCACAACAAAACATCTCATCCCTGAATGGTCGATGATCGATACAAAATGTGTTATAGTATGCCGACTTATTGTTATAATAGTAAAACACGCAAAGAGTGCGGGCTGCATAAAGTCCATGCCCCTGACAACTTGAGTGACGTGCTTCAGGTGTATATTGCAATTCTTCCCATCCATAACAATACATATAAGTTTAGAAATAGTGTTTAAGACATCCAACAAATACCAATTCCCGAGAGAGGCCCAACGGTTTCTGAGAATACAACAATGGTGCCTTTAGATACGCTGTTACTTAGATATTACATTAACTTTTGTTTTCCCAAGGTGTTAAGTTGATAAGTTGATTTAAAGATCTTTAAAATTAACTCGGTTATTAAAAGATGATAAATGAATAAAGGGGTAAGTTTCTAAAGAAACTGTGGTGCTGCGTCGGTGGGAGAGTATAGCAGGTAATTTAGTGTTAACAACCGGGTTGAAAACGTAAATTAGCCACCGTAAAGGGTAAAAAAGGCTAACGTTTCGAGCGTTAGCCCTTCGTCAGAGCGATTGGAGGAATTGTGGGTTGTGTGTGGGTTTATATGCAGAAAGTGGAGCTACGCCATTGGTGGGAGTATGCTGACGAGAAAACAGGAATAAATTAATTGAATGAAAAGCGCTCGTTGATTCCTTGGGGATTAAGGATGCCGATTTGGAAGATAAATTTTTGTTCTAGTGTTTTACGGCTTTCCGAACTGCCTAGATGTAAGGAAAGGCCGCAAACTACC